GAAATTTAGCAGTTTCATGTTTTGTTGATTTAATATTTTCTACTGTATTAAATGTTTGGGGTTTTTTTTTGGGGGGGTGCACGTATCTGGCTTTGCCCACGGCACAAAATAGTCTACCACTTGCCTGAATGTTATACTTGTAGCAGTTCTCAGTGGTAATCTGACCGTTGTGGTCCTTAAAGTATATGTAATCTCTCACCTTGTAAAACAACCCATTCAGTTTAAAATAGAAATGAAAAACAAAACATTTGTGTATAGATATATAAAACAATTATAAAAACCTTTTTGATTCCCTGTTTTATAAGTGATCACATACCCTCTAAGCTCCTTATGCAATTTAGAACAGAGAGTTGGGGAGGGGAAACAGCAGAACAATGATCTTCCCAGTGAAAGACTGTGCAGGGAGAGGGGGTGTCAGCAAAAGTCTGATCATTAGAGAGCACACTGAGTTCCCAGCACAGCTAAACAGCTAATCAATCTGTGTTCTCTTGCTTAGTGTGGTCAATTTTTGATAGGAAAGCAGAGGGACTGGTAAGAACACCAAGGATTTCACACAAAGCAAGCAATGCAAAAAGAACAAGATACGTTTTCATACAAGTACATGGTACAGCAGACAGATATCAGGACTATGAAATTTTGGGTTTATACACTGGTTTGTTTAACCGCATGCCGCCCAGCCACTGTACATATACGGCGGCAGGGCGGCACTCACAGGCAAAACCACGTTTTAAGACGTGTGTTTTGTAAACAAATAGGGGGCGCGTGCGAGGCACGCCGCCGCCCTATTTGTCCCGCGGATCACCGCTGCAGATGTCAGTCCCCGGGTCACAGCCGCTCCTTAGCGGCTATGTCCCGGCGATCGGCAGCAAACAGTGACAGAGAGCACAGCTGCAGTAGCTGTGCTGTCTGTCACCTCTCTGTCAGCTCGAGGATGAGCTGATCAAGAAAGAACAGTTTCTCTTTCTCGATCAGCCTTGTCCCTCCCAGTACACACCCCCGCCCCCTAGTAAAACACTCCCCTCACTCCTATAACCCTTCCCTGCAAAATAAAGTTAACCCCTTCCTCCCCATTGCCATTAGTACAGTGCCAGTTTTTTTTTTTTTTTGCACTGATCACTGTATTAGTGTTTTTGGGGATGTCAGTGACCCCAAGTCAGCACCCCCCAATGTCAAAATGTCCGCTGCAGTCCCGCAGTCCCGCCATGAGTCGCTGGTTGCTGTCATAAGTCCCTGATCGCCGCCATAATCCGCTGATCGCCACCATTATTAGTATAAAAAAAAACCTAAAAATCCCAGTATTTTTCCCGCTATTTGTAAACGCTATAACTTTCATGTAAACCAATTAATTTACACGTATTGGTTTTTTTTTTTCAGCAAAGACATGTCGCAGAATGCATTTTGGCAGAAATTTATGACTAAATTTGATTTTTGTATTTTTTTTTACTGGACATGTTTTATAGCAAAAAGTCTAAAATATTGTTTTTTTTTCCTCAAAATTGTCAGCCTTTTTTTTTATAGCGCAAAAAGTAAAAACCGCACAGGCGATCAAATACCACTGAAAGAAAGCTCAATTTGTGGGGAAAAAAAGGATGTAAATTTCATTTATGTACCATATTGCATGACCGTGCAATTGTCCATTAAACTAGCACAGCGCTGTATAGCAAAAAAATGGCGTAAATTGCAGTATATACCATAGTTTGTAGACGCTATAACTTCCACACAAAGCAATCAATATACATTTATTGGGATTTTTTTTACCAAAAACATGTAGCAGAATACATTTTGGCCTAAATTTATAACCAACTTTCAGTTTACTATATATTTTTTATAGCTGAAAATAAAAAATATTGTTTTTCTTCAAAATTTTTGGCCTTTTTTTGTTTATAGCGTGAAAAATAAAAAGCGCACAGATGATAAAATACCACCGAAAGAAAGCTCTATTTGTGTGAAAAAAAGGACGTAAATTTCGTTTGGGTGCAGCATTGCATGACCGCGCAATTATCAGTTGAATTAGTGCAGCGCCGAGTAGCAAAAGGAGGCCTGGTCATTAAGGGGGGTAAATCCTCTGGAGGTCAAGTGGTTAACCCTCACACTAACCTTAAAGTGGACATTCATCATCCAAATCATCTAAACCTCTGTGAACGTCCACTACCCTCCACAATATGATTTGCCACTTTTTTGTGGCTCTTTATTTCATTTTATTCTTTTACAGTTTAGGTCTAGCTCTGCCCACCCACTGCCATTTTTGCCATAGAGAGAATGACATATCTCTGCTGCCTCAGCCTCCTGGGATTCCATATCACATAAGAGTAGGGTAACACTGCGACAGTTAGGCGGAGCTGTGGTTATCTTCAGAGGCCAGCTGCCTGAACCCAGAAGAGGTGGCCAGCTTCCAATGACTGATGAGGACAAGATGCAGTGCAAGACCCCGGCTGCTGCACCTTGAAAACACTGGATGCCCTGAGCTGGTGAGTATCTAAATCCAGGACAATGCTACAGTATATGAAATGGTAACAATTAAGTGCAGCGCTATCAGTAACATGAAAATGAATAAAATATTTTGTTTAAAATAATGCTAAAAACATAGACAGGTGGCGACAAAGTCCATATAGGATCCACATATGCAGGTAGGAATAGGTGCTTGAAAGAGTGAGTCCGATCCAGAGGGGAGACTGTCCACCCAATATAAAAGCCTCTTACCAGATAATTTGACTGCCCAAAGGACTGGTCAAATAACGCAGCAAACTGGCCCAACTGGTGTAACACGATATCCTGAATGCAGGCTCCCTCCATTGACTGGTCAGGCACTTCTCCAATTCATAAGATCTCTAGACAACAAACCTCCCATCAGGTAACAAAACACCATGTGGAGAAAAGATGCTGACTGTGTAGTAAATATTTCAACCTGGAAATTTATTTAAAATTGCACTTACAAAAACTTCAGTAAAAACCGGCATATCAATTTTATTGTTTCAAACCGACAAGATGGCTGTTGTCCTTCTGAAAGGCAATGACATCACCCGGCCTGACTCCCCTTATGCATTTCGTCCTCAAAAATACATCGTCAGGGGCATGACCAGCGTGCTGTACCGCACACTTTATATAGAACTCAAAAGGACACTCCCTCTCATTTGGAATGTGCTCCACTAACCAGAACCGCAACCCAAAAGAGAAAGTAAAAAATGTTAAGCTTGGGTCTCCTTGGGCAAAAAGTGTTTGCTGCATTTCAAACTCCAGAAAAATCTTCACAATCATGCACCATCCAGGTTAACAATGTTATTAAACCTATACATATTTACAATGACCAGTGAAATCAGTGCAAAAAAATCAAGTATAACATGGTGACACAAATAAATGTACAATTAAATATTGTGCTATAACAAATAAATATGAATATATAAAAATCAATAAAATTAAATAAAATCAGTAAAAGTCCAATTCATCAAATGCATAAATACTTCAAATAAGTCCACCAAAAGAAATGAATAAAATGTGATTGAGTAAAAAGTCCTTCAAATCCACTAAAGTCACCACGTGAGCAAATGAAATTGAGTATGTGCATGAAACGTCACTCAAGTGTCACCACATGCTCCAGAGGAAAACCTCCCTCAATTCAGTGGTACTCACCAGATATCGTGGTCCATATAAACTTGATAGGTAATGGTGAGCGTCAGACTTTATAAGGATCCTCAATCACGTAGCAATTAGAGGCTGATTCGATGGCGGAATATCATCCAAAATATTTACTCCATCACAAGGGAAAGAAATAAAAGAGAACTCATAGCGTAATTCTGCTAAAAAAAACATTTATTATATAAAAAATAATGAACTCACATAGGAAAAATCATGCACAACATCCACAATATGCTCGGAAGGTAGCAGTGTATCATTATTATTATTATTATTATACAGGATTTATATAGTGCCAACAGTTTGCTCAGCGCTTTACAATATAATGGGAGGCAATACAGCAACAATACAGTTCAATACAAGAGGGATAGGAGGGCCCTTCTCCTTGGAGCTTGCAATCTAGGAGATATAGACAGAGTCTCACCTGATCCTCCTCGCTGCTTACGTACGTCACTTCTGGAGGGGGATGTGAGGTGGATGCCTGTTACAACAAACATTGTGCGGCCTGACCCTGACGCGTTTCGTCACCTGACTTTATTAAGGAGTTCACCCTATGAAATCGGCCAACCATCATAATAAAAAAAGATATTAATCCTATAACCTTATTAATATATGACAGGTAAGTGGAGTTAAAAAAAAAGAGAAATGGGAGCCACTGAAGTTCCTCTTTAATGTTTGTCCATGCCCCTAAACCTCAACCCTTTACCTTATACCCCAAGGGCCTAGATTACACTTGTCAATTTTCTTGCCCCAAAACACAAGCATTTTATTTCTTTTAATACATTTATATAATGGATGAAAGAAATCATACAAAATACACAAACATTCACATAAACACACATATAAAAATTCAAAAAGAAATGTGTGACAAAACATGTGTTGCAGAGGCATAGGTGTTAAACCATAACTCCAACACTATACCAATCTCTTAACCCGAACATGACATTTAAAGTATATGTTAACCTTCACATTGTAAAACAACCCATTCAGCTTCAAATATAAATAAAAGGCAAAACATTTGTGTATAAGATATAAAAAATTTATAAATACCTTTTTTTCCTCTTTTTTATAAGTGATCACATCCCCTCTGTTCTCAGTGGCATAAGGATCTTAGTGAGATGGGGGAAGAGATGCAGCAGTACAATGATCTTCCTAGTAAATGGCTGTGCGGGAGGGGGGGGGGGTTGTCAGCACAATTCTGATCATTGGACTAGCTCCCAGTACAGCTAGAACACTGACCACGCTGTGTTCTCCTGCCTAGTTTGGTCAGGAACGTAGATAAGGGTGGGGGGCTGGTCAAGGGGGTTCAAATCCCCCAGAGCATCTTGCCAAAAAATCAAATGGCTGGACTGTCTGCTGCCCTCAGTGGCATGCCCTGGTCTTTTTTTATTGTGTTCAAATGGAAAGTATAAACCATTCTGTGCAGTTCACATCTATGCAGTCTTCAGTGACTGTGTTTGTTTTGGCACAGCAGCTCATTCATTTTAATGGTGAATTGGGCCCAATCATTTTGAATGAGCTCAAATCACACTGCATTGCACCAAAGTTGTGCATGCACCAGTTTTGAAGCCCCACTGCAACTGGATCGCATGGTTGTTTTGCACTGCGTTTGTGACCTGCATTTGCAGTGTTGTTAAGATTGCACTAAAACCCACTGCAGATCGCAAGAGGGGTGAGATTTGAACAGATCAGGGGTTTCCCACTGTATATATGGGCTCTGCACAGTACTACTTGTCCTGTATGCCAGGTATAATTCTCGGTATCTGTTCTTATTCTGTATGTATGGACTCTGCACAGTACTACTTATCTTGTCCTGTATGCTGGGTGTAATTCTCAGTATCTGTTATTATTCTGTATGTATGGACTCTGCACAGTACCACTTATCTTGTTCTATATGCCGGGTGGAATTCTCAGTATCTGTTCTTATTATGTATGTATGGACTCTGCACAGTACTACTTATCTTGTCCTGTATGCTGGGTGTAATTCTCGTATCTGTTATTATTCTGTATGTATGGATTCTGCACAGTACCACTTATCTTGTTGTATATGCTGGGTGGATTCTCAGTATCTGTTCTTATTATGTATGTATGGACTCTGCACAGTACTACTTCTCCTGTCCTGTGTGCCAGGTATAATTCTCGGTATCTGTTCTTATTCTGTATGTATGGATTCTGCACAGTCCCACTTCCCTTGTCCTGTATGCTGGGTGTGATTCTCAGTATCTGTTCTTATTCTGTATGTATGGACTCTGCACAGTCCCACTTATCTTGTCCTGTATGCTGGGTGTAATTCTCGGTATCTGTTATTATTCTGTATGTATGGACTCTGCATAGTCCCGCTTCCCTTGTCCTGTATGCCGGGTGTAATTCTCGATATCTGTTCTTATTCTGTATGTATGGACTCTGCACAGTCCCGCTTCCCTTGTCCTGTATGCCGGGTATAATTCTCGGTATCTGTTCTTATTCTGTATGTATGGACTCTGCACAGTACCACTTATCTTGTTCTGTATGCCGTGTGTAATTCTCGGTATCTGTTCTTATTCTGTATGTATGGACTCTGCACAGTACTACTTCTCCTGTCCTGTATGCCGGGTATAATTCTCGGTATCTGTTCTTATTCTGTATGTATGGACTCTGCACAGTCCCGCTTCCCTTGTCCTGTATGCCGGGTATAATTCTCAGTATCTGTTCTTATTCTGTATGTATGGACTCTGCACAGTACCACTTATCTTGTTCTGTATGCCGGGTGTAATTCTCGGTATCTGTTCTTATTCTGTACGCATGGATATGCACAGTACTACTTATCTTGTCCTGTATGCTGGGTATAATTCTCGGTATCTGTTCTTATTCTGTATGTATGGACTCTGCACCGTCCCGCTTCCCTTGTCCTGTATGCCGGGTGTAATTCTCAGCATCTGTTCTTTTTCTGTATATATGGACTCTGCACAGTCCTGCTTCCCTTGTCCTGTATGCTGGGTGTAATTCTCAGTATCTGTTCTTATTCTGTATGTATGGACTCTGCATAGTCCCACTTTCCTTGTCCTGTATGCTGGGTGTAATTCTCGGTATCTGTTCTTATTCTGTATGTATGGACTCTGCATAGTCCCGCTTCCCTTGTCCTGTATGCTGGATGTAATTCTCTTTGTATTTTCTGTAACGGGCCATGTTAAAAAAAAATGGAAGAAGGAAAAACTGAAATCAAATTAAATTTTTAAGAGGACCTGAGAAAATGGAATTAAGGTGTATTGCTTACTATGGGCAACACACATACTTTTTCTTTTTTTCCAGTGTTTATGGATTTGGCGCAGTTTATTTTATTTAAAAAAAACTACTTGGTACCTGCTGCTGAACCCCCCCACCCCTGAATAAAAAAATATCTACAGCCCTGAGTGTGGTAAGATTTTAATAGGAAAGCAGAGGGATTGGAAGGAATACCAGGGATTTCACACAAATGAAGCAATACACAGATAACAGGATACTTTTTCATACAAGTGCATGGTACAGCAGGTACATATCAGGAATATAAAATGTTGGGTTTACATATTCTTTAATTCTAACACTCCCTGACAAACATTTAAACACGATTTCTTCGGCTTGGAAGTACAGTAGCTGTGGTTTGATGTGAACTCATATGGGCGATTAAATGAGCGTATAGATAAACAAGCAAAATGTTCCCATGCCTATACATTTCTTACATTTGACCACAGTAGTTAACCACCAATAACGTGACATTATTGTTTCTTTCGGTTTGAGCTAGGGTTCAATCTGTACACAAAAAATAAAGCAAAGAAACAGGTAATCAGAATACTCATATCATTTTATTAAACAGAAAAATTAACTGAAGGTCTCCTATAAAAAATACCTCTCCTTGAACATATAATAGGTGACAATGTTGTCCGCCCACCCTGAACTACACATCAACCACATTAATAAAAAGTGCCTATGCAGTTTGTAATGGTTCCTCTCGGGTCTGGGGCACAGACTGAGCAGAAAGATCATACCAGCAAGCTGTCAGCTGGACAGAAAATCAGCATAATACCTCTGGACCAGGAAAAAGGTTCATTTTGACATGGACGAAACGCGTTGCCTGTAGATGAACCTCACCTTTGTTGTGCCACACTCCTGGTTGCCTCAGACAAGCAGGCATATTTAATAAAGAGTACTCCTTAGGCTACACTCAAGCAGATATAAAGACACTATCAATCATTTAATCCAGTTTTGTACTTAAGAAAAATCATTCAATATGCTATTAAATATCTATACTATAAGTGCTGGAACCTGTCTTGATGGTTATCTCATGATCACCTATCATGTATCAGTGTGCTGCTGCTCCTCTTTGTCCAATAAGTGGTCTGGGGTTGGCTGATTTTCCAAAAGGGAAATGCACTTATTTACAGCATGTGATGCATTGTGTGAGTGTAGTAATACCAGCAATATGAATGGTAGGGAGGGCAAAAGGAGTGTGCAAGGGGCGCAACTTTCCTCAGTGGCTGTAGCTGCTATTAACTCTTACAGCACTGGAGGATAGACGTAGGGCAGTACCTGGTGCCTATAAAGGAGACATTGGAAGGAATATTTTTTTACCAGAAGCAGTTTTCTGCAGGACCTTCATAACTCCAGTACAGCCACTGAGGGCAGTATCTGTCTGCTTGAAAGGATGCACTGCAGGGAGGATTTTTACCAGAAGCAGCCAATTACAAGTAATGGGATACACACCATCACACATAACTAATATGTTTGGTGCTGTATCCCAAAATAACTCTAGGGGCACCATTGCTTCCCTCCTCCTGGAAATGCTAGTTCATAGGATTAAGAATTTCCTATGCTACTTAGTGCCATCTAGTGGCCAAATGCAGTATTTTCCATTTTAAATTAATGAAAGGAAAAAAAAATCCAGTAAAGATTTTCCACCCATTCACACAGAAAGAATGTACATGCATTTCACTGGCCAAATTGCTATAATCAATTCTTTTATAAATACACCCCTTGTAATGTTTTACCTGCCAAAGAATTTCTGATAAGGAGCACACTGATAGGAGGAGAGATCAGAGTGAGCTCATCACTACCCTGCTTCTCTTTTCTTTTTTCAGTCACAGTCTGTTGCAGATCCAGACTGACCTGGGCAGGGGTGTCCAAACTATGGCCCTCCAGGTGTTGAGGAACTGCAAGTCCCACAAGGCCTTACAAGACTCTGACATCCACAGGCAAGACACCCAGAGGTGTAGAGGCATGATAGGACTTGTAGTACTTCAACAGCTGGAGAGCCATAGTTTGGACATCCCTGGACCTGGGCTTAGGGAAAGTGAGTTGAATGGAGCTGGCCATCAGAATGAGGACATCTTGTGGCAGAAAAAAAGTCCTGCAGGGGAAATCTCTAGATCAAATATGAATATTACAGCAAAAGCTGGTTTTGTTATTTAATCTTTTCACCTTTGTTTTTGTTTTTGTTTTGTTTTTAGCTGAAGGCTTGCTTTAAAAGTAGGCATAAAGCTTGGTTCCAACGGTGCCAGATCTCTACTGTGACCGTCAGTAGTCTACAATGCTTACTGGGAAATGCATCACAGTTCTCTGGTCATGCTGCTGTAGCCATGCCTATAAAACATGGTTTGGGACAGATTTCCAAGATTCATATAGATGCTGTATACATTGTTTTACTTTTTTTAAAAAAACTAGGCAAAACTAAAAAAACAATACGGGATCTTCCAGTGAAATGGTTTGGCTAGAGTTCACTATGGGAATGAGGAACTCTCCAGACTTGTGTCTTGGTCACCTGAAGACTGGCAGCAGTATCCTGCTGAGCACAGATTCCATTTTTGTAACAAAACATTTAATGAAAGGTTAGTGATGCTGGATGTGACCTCAGGACAACAAATTGTGATAAATAAGGAAGCAAAGATTTTCACATTCACTACACAGTAGAAGTTGAAATAGCTGCACTTTCTGGTCATAGATTGCTCATTTCCTCCCCTTACCGTAACAACATCATTCTCTGGTCTCTTCTCCCAATCTGATATTTTCCAGTACATGTCAAGTAAGTTGTAATATCTCCATTTGATGTTACTCAAAGGGAGGTTACAGAAAATATACATTTGTATCATTGCATCAGAATTAATCATGATTGAACTGCCATAAGCTATGTAGTTTTTTTTCTCCAGATATAAAAATCTATATGAGGTCTAATAATTTACGCGTAGACAAACATACTTCATCGTGTCTTCTCTAGCCTGACATACACAAAGTAAATGATTTCATATCAGATAGATGTTCTGTAAGTGAAGAATAAGTGTATAAGAGAATAAATGGACCTATAGTGAGAAATACACCGGACCCTTTATTAGGTACACCTGTTCAACTGCTTGGTAACACAAACTGCTAATCAGCCAAACACATGGCAGCAACTCAATGCATTTAGGCATCTAGACGTGGTGAAGATAATTTGCTCAAGTTCAAACTGAGCATCAGAATGGAGAAGAAGGGAGATTTAAGTGACTTTGAACGTGACATGGTTGTTGTTGCCAAACAGGCTGGTCGGAGTATTTCAAAAACTGCTGATCTACTAGGATTTTTACACTCAACCATCTCTAGAGTTTGCAGAGAATAGTCTGAAAAGAGAAAATATCCAGCGAGCAGCAGTTGTGTGGATGAAAATGCTCTGTTGATGCCAGAGGTCAGAGGAGAATGGGCAGACTGGTTTGAGATGATAGAAAGGCAACAGTAACTCAAATAACCACTCATTACAACCAAGGTATGCAGAATACCATCTCTGAATATACAAAACGTCGAACCTTGAACCAGATGGGCTACAGCAGTAGAAGACCACACTGGGTGCCACTCCTGTCAGCTAAGGACAGGAAATGAAGGCTACAATTCTCACAGGCTCACCAACATTGGACAATAAAAGAGTGGAAAAACATTGCATGGTCTGATGAATCTTGATTTCAACTGCAACATTCAGATGTTAGGGTCAGAATTTGGCATAAACATGAAAGTATGGACCCATCCTGCCTTGTATCAACGGTTTAGACTAGTGGTGGTGTAATGGTGTGGGGGATATTTTCTTGGCACACTTTGGGCCTCTTAGTACCAATTGAGCATTGTTTAAATGCCAGGGCCTACCTGAGTATTGTTGCTGACCATGTCCATCCCTTTATAACTACAGTGTACCCATCTTCTGATGGCTACTCCCAGCAGGATAATGCACCATGTCACAAAGATCAAATCATCTCAAACTGGTTTCTTGAACATGACAATGAGTTCACTTTACTCCAATGGCCTCCACAGTCACCAGATCTCAATCCAATAAAGTACCTTTGAGATGTAGTGGAACAGGAGATTTGCATCATGGATGTGAAG